ACCTACCTAGATAGCTGACTGAATAGGGCCAACAGTCTTGCCCCTAAAGTTCAGTTTCCATTAGCTGCATTGCCTACGTGTACGAATTGTCCAATCGTGGAATGTGAGTGGCTAGAAACAGCAACAAAATAGAACCAAATTTTTATTCGGGGTTAACCAAGTTTCATCCGCCTGATCAATGGTCAGAGGTTTCTCACTTATCACCCCTAAGGGACTGTTCTAATTCTGTGTATAAGTGTGGACATTATTTGTTACCACCTTCACGAGAGCCAGGCCAATGGTCAAACATTTCAGAGTGGGAAATTTGATCAATAAAGAAGCACATTTCGTAAAGTAGATTATCTCATTTGCCCAGCCCAAGCTAAATAAAATGTTAGTTATGTCTTTCTCATCATAGAAAAGTAATCTATAAAATGTTTGGGCAGGGTTTCTCTTGCTAGCTGAGTAAAAATGTAAACAAATCCAATGTAAATCCGAAAGATAAATGGCACAGGTGTGTGAGATATATACAATATGGCAGTTTGGACCATATTAGAGGAAGAAATAAATTGACAGAATTCATCCTGGCTGGAATTAGGCCCTCCGTGATGAAGATAAATGCACACAACCATGCAAAATGCACTGAACATTAAGTTATGAAATGACTACACTATTTAGTGATTGATGATCGAGTTTGTTTATGGAAATGCCGTGACCTGTCCCTCTCTTTTCAAGAACGCTTGTATTCACAGGGCTGATTAGCGCTCTTTTCTCTCTTCTAATTAAACTTTTATTGAATTTCCTTTTCCCTCTTTTTCCCCTACTTGCTTTGATACCCGTCTGTGCTTGATGACAAAAGCCTTCTACCAGTCATGTGATCCCTCTATTTTCAAATAGTCCCACTCAGCAGGATTAGCCATTTTTAATGACTGTAATCTCCTTTTGGAAAAGTGATTTTTCCCCCTCTCGTTTTCATTCTGCTACATTACTTTGACTGCATTAATATAGAATTATTTGTCTAAAGGCAAATAGTCCTTAAATATTTTTCCAACCTAAACTGGATCTTCCATATGAAAAAAGCCCCAAACAATAATGCTTCTATTTCATTGTCTCCTGTTTGCAGCCCCAGTTCAAAATATTCTAGTTGACCTTTCAAAACCTTTGAAAGATTAGGACCAAGATACCTGGTGAAATAGCCATGTGTACACTGCCATATATTGAGATCTTCAGTGAATGGTTGTTTGCTAGATCTTGGAAATGATCCAGCTATCAAGCTGGCAATATTAGTGACTCTTCTACAAGATGGATAGATAGGATCTTTTGAGTAGAAGAAGACATTATGGAAGGGCATATGTTGGAGAATGTAGGGGCAAACAAGAATCTAGAAACATAACCTTACTTCAAGATGCAGGAGAGTTAATGGGCAGACAGAATTGGGCTATTTGAAAACATAGGCTGGGGATCCTATTGAGCTGCTGAATAGAAGGTACATCAGGCTGTCAAGTACAGAGTTCCAATTAACACCTCCATTCTTTTCTTCTTCCTCTTGATATTCTTTAAGAGATGGGTTACGGGGAGGAAAGAAGACAGAACAGAAGCAGGAGAAAGGTGATGCAAAATGTGAAATCACTCGAGGCAGGTCCCGTGGGTTGTAGGCAAGGATTAAAGATCGGCCTTCCCAGGTGCAGATGACTGATGTAGATTCACAGCGTAGCATAGAATCAGCCTCTCTCCCACTCTGGAGCCTCCCTGTAGTGTTGGACTACAGTCCCCATCATCCTCAGCCAGCAAGGGGTGGCATAGGTGGGGAAGACGGGACTGCAACTGAGATTCTGCGGAAGGCACCTCATCAGCGTACGCTGATAGGAACGCCCAAAGAGAAGAAATCTTTCTATCTCCACTGACTTATATTGCACTTCCCTCTCCTCAAAGATGGGACTGAGAACCAACCTGCATCTCAGAAATCTCTAAATGATGGGAAGTGTGTAAGAAGATTCTGCTGCTTTGGTGATCCTTTGTACCCTCTTTAAAAGTCTTGCCACAGAGTGCTCCGTAATCTTTCTTTCCCTTGGAGGCTGTCACCTCCCTGGCCTCAACCCTGCACCCTCTTTCCTGGGAAGCAGCTCCCACAGGATTTATATCCGAGAGTTCACCATTGCCAGGGGTTGCTCTGACAGTCTTCCAGTCGGTTCAGACCCTGGCTATTACACATAAACACTATGTTTTAAGGCCATTTGAAAGTGTTTTGCAACACTCAACCCTTAACTCTTCCCCTATTGCATGTCGAAGCAGTGGCTCGATGGACTCCCGTTGTTTTGATAATGTGATGATGGTGGAGGTGTACGAGGTTGCCACTTGAAAAATAAGACAACACCTTGAGAGCAAAAAATCACCATTTGTTGCCCTAGTTTAAAAGCTCTCCCCCCCCTCCCATGTGCCTCCCTGGTGTCCCTCTCTCCCTCCCCGCCTGGATCCCCCTTGAGGGACCCAGCTGGCGTGAGCTGGGAATTAGTGTGTGCCATGGTTTGCTGGTCCTTCCCTGCTGAATCTAATCCAGGGAGCAAGCAGCCAGCTGAATCCTTCCAGTCAGAAGAGCCCATTAATTCAAGTCCTGGGGGGAGAGGCAACCTTCCCCCCCCCTTTCTTGCCTGGTGAGAGAGGCCCCCTGTGACTGGAGCTGGCGTGAGAGCGAGACAGAGGCTGTCCAGGGCAAGGCTTACAGCTTGCTCATTATGGGTTAGTGGCGTTGATTTACAGTCTGCAGAGTTAGGTTTTAATTTCTCGTCTGTGCAAGGTATGATTGTAAGCAGGGGGATGCTGAGCTGGGGGGGGCGATATGCAGAGAATTTTAAAAAAAGTAAAAATATTGCCTAATCTTTTCTTATAATACTTGTAAGATTTTCTTTTCTAGAAGGAGAGAGAGAGAGAGAGATCCATAGACGTCTCATTTCTTTTTTTTGGGTTCAATTCCCCCGTATAGCTTATTTTCCAATAGATTTGTAGTTAAAACCGTTTACAATAAAAACAGACAGTAAGGGGGGGGGGAGAAAAAAACTAAAGGATTGAAAAGTATCATGGTATATACATCAGCAAAGTGTGTGTGTGTGTGGGGGAAATAGTAGCCAAATGCAAGCAAACACAAAATTTAGCACTGAAAAGCCTAGGTAGAAGATTCCGCTCCTGATATTCACGAAAGGCGAACCCCTGATAAACAAGGACATGAGTGGTGAGTCTCCCTATGGTGTGAGTCATCTTACATATATACTTTTCTTTTATATTGGCCAAGTTACTCCTTTGAAGCCTCTCCAGGCTAGCATGGCCGCTCTTGGGCTGGTTGCATATCCCGGGAATCCGAGTGGGAAAGAGTCAAGTCTCCGTTCAGGAGATTCACCATGTCCACATCTCTTGAGCTTTAGCAATGTGCTGTTGTATCCACTGCGTCTGGATTTTTGAGAGGGCTCACTTTTAGAGGAAATTGTCACCTTCTTTAACTTTTTATGGGGACCGCCTATTTGAAGGTTATGGGCTTCCAGAAAGGATCCTTGTTGGGACTCCACAGAGACCTAGAGCAAATCATATGAAGTAGCCTACAAGGGTCAGTAATAGTGCTTCAGAGGTCACTCTGATGATACGTTTTCTTTAAAAAAGCAAAATGCAGTTGCATTTCCATGGGTGTATAAAGGTTTGCTTTAGCTACTGTGCTAATGATTGAAGTTGAGGTGCAAAATTGTCATTTGGGGAAGGACCCAGATGCCAAACAAGTAGGGGTGTATGTGTCTTTGTGTGTTTCTCTCTGTGTCTCCTTGTGAGGGTCAGAAATGTGGAAACTCAAAGGAGCAAAACAGCTGCTGTGAAATATATAAGGGGAAAGGGGCTTTGTAGGAAAACCCATTTTCTTTATACCCCCCTCCTCTTTTGAAGGGAACGTCTTCCGCCCTCCTTTCCTTTTGCAGGAGAAAAGGTGTTCTTACAAACGTCAAATGAAAAAAACACCAGCAGTAGCTCAACCCCCTGTCCTGTTCTGCAGGATACCAAAGGTGCCTGAACAGGATCCCTTCCCCCTCACCAGTGTGTTGCCCGGTCCAAAGCTGCAATATGGAGATATTTGTCTTCTCTGCCTGTCACTGAAGTATCTCTTGCCTTGCTGCAGAGTTGGCAAGCGCACATGGCATGGAATTGGCATCACAAACAGACCAACTCTGACAACATGGAAGTCAAGTTAAGTGTCTGAAGAACTGTTTGGACCCACACACACACACACACACTCCATCAGAGTTACCCTTTCCAGCCTCTGACCCTTGATTTCGGAATTGTTTCAGGTGCAAGTGGGATTTGGGGAAATCCATCTTGTTTATGTCAAATTACTGCAGAGTGACTCTCTCTCTCTCTCTCTCTTCCCCTGTGTGTGTATGTGTGTGTGTGTGTGAGAGAGAGAGATTCCCTGACAGTAAGAGCTTCAAAGCAGCCTTTCCCATTCTGAGGCTGGGCCAGGAAGGATTTTTTTTCCAGGCACCATTATCTGAAATTTTCTCCCAACTAGTATCTTGAAAAATGCTCACGTACGAGCACTTAACGCAGCGGCTCTTAGAAATGTTTGTATCGCTCTGAGGCATGTTGCGTTTTGTTTTCTTGACTCGCTGCTTATTGCTTGGCAATACAGTAGACAGGTGTTAAACCTGCTTGGGGGAGAAGGGGAGGGGGGAGAAATTGCTTAGCATTAATCGTGATGAACTGCATTTGGCACCTTTATTTGTTTATTTATTGGAAAAAAATAGATTTTTGTGTGCTGGGCCATCTCCTCCTCCTTTTCTCCCCTTTTGCCCAAATATCTTTTTAAGATTCAAGGCATTTGTGGTGTTGATCTTGTTTTGTTTTTTTATTCAGCAGCTAAATCTCTCTCTCTCTCTCTTAAATACTGTAGTAGCAGAAGGGCCGCAGTGTTGCCGAATGGCTTTGTCCCTATTTTCACAGATGCACTGGGAATTTTTTTTTAAAATCTCCTTTCTGCTTTCCCATTACAGATGGCGACGACGACCCACAACTCTCCTGGGTGGCTTCCTCTCCCTCCAGCAAAGACGTTGCATCACCCACTCAGATGATCGGCGATGGGTGTGATCTCGGCATTGGGGAGGAGGAAGGGGGGACCGGCCTGCCCTATCCCTGTCAGTTTTGCGATAAGTCCTTCATTCGCCTGAGCTACCTTAAAAGGCACGAGCAGATCCACAGTGACAAGCTACCTTTCAAATGCACCTACTGCAGCCGGCTTTTCAAGCACAAGAGGAGCCGAGACCGGCATATCAAGCTGCACACGGGGGACAAGAAGTACCATTGCCACGAGTGCGAGGCGGCCTTCTCTCGCAGCGACCACCTCAAGATCCACTTGAAGACGCACAGCTCCAGCAAGCCCTTCAAGTGCACCATCTGCAAGCGAGGCTTCTCCTCCACCAGCTCGCTTCAGAGCCACATGCAGGCCCACAAGAAGAACAAGGAGCACCTGGCCAAGAGCGAGAAGGAGGCCAAGAAGGACGACTACATGTGCGACTATTGCGAGGAGACCTTCAGCCAGACCGAAGAGCTGGAGAAGCATGTCATGACGCGCCACCCGCAGCTTTCCGAGAAGGCGGACTTGCAGTGTATCCATTGCCCTGAAGTATTTGCTGACGAAAACGCCCTCCTTTCCCACATCCACCAAGCTCATGCCAACAAAAAACACAAGTGCCCAATGTGCCCGGAGCAGTTCTCTTCGGTGGAGGATGTCTATTGCCACTTGGACAGCCATCGGCAGCCTGACTCCAGCAACCACAGTATCAGTCCTGACCCTGTCCTGGGTAGTGTGGCCTCCATGAGCAGCGCCACTCCCGATTCTAGTGCATCCGTGGAGCGAGGCTCCACTCCCGACTCGACTTTGAAGCCATTGAGAGGGCAAAAGAAGATGAGGTCCCTGGAGAGAGAAGAGGGCCAGACCTGGTCTAAGGTGGCTTACAGCTGCCCTTACTGCACCAAGCGTGACTTCAACAGCCTTGCGGTCCTGGAGATCCACCTGAAGACCATCCATGCTGACAAACCTCAGCAAAGCCACACGTGCCAGATTTGCCTCGAATGCATGCCCACCCTGTACAACCTGAACGAACACGTGAGAAAGGTACATAAAAACCATGCCTACCCCATGATGCAGTTCAGCAACATTTCAGGCTTCCATTGCAATTACTGCCCAGAGATGTTTGCAGATATCAACAGCCTGCAGGAACATATCCGCATTGCTCACTGTGGGCCAGGAGCCACCACTCAAGATGGTAACAACGCCTTCTTTTGCAACCAGTGCTCCATGGGCTTTCTGACAGAAGCCTCTTTGACCGAACACATCCAGCAAACCCACTGCAACCTGGGGAACTCAAAATTGGATTCCCCCGTTGTCCAGCCTTCGCAATCTTTCATGGAGGTTTACTCCTGTCCCTACTGCACAAACTCGCCCATTTTTGGCTCCATCCTTAAGCTCACCAAACATATTAAGGAGAACCACAAGAACATCCCGCTGGCCCACAATAAGAAGTCGAAAGGCGACCAGAGCCCAGTTTCGTCTGATGTCGAGGTTTCCTCCCCCAAAAGGCAACGGCTTTCGGCCAGCGCCAATTCTGTTTCGAATGGAGAATACCCGTGTAATCAGTGTGAGCTGAAGTTCTCCAACTTTGAAAGCTTCCAGACGCATTTGAAGTTGCATTTGGAGTTGTTGCTGAGGAAGCAGTCCTGCCCTCAGTGCAAGGAAGACTTTGATTCCCAGGAGTCGCTCCTGCAGCACCTCACTGTCCATTACATGACAACCTCGACCCATTACGTATGTGAGAGTTGCGACAAGCAGTTTTCATCGGTCGATGACCTGCAGAAGCATTTGCTGGACATGCACACGTTCGTATTGTATCACTGCACCCTTTGCCAAGAGGTCTTCGACTCTAAGGTATCGATCCAAGTGCATCTGGCGGTGAAGCACAGCAATGAGAAAAAGATGTACCGGTGTACGGCCTGCAACTGGGATTTTCGGAAGGAGGCGGATCTTCAGATCCACGTGAAGCATAGCCACCTGGGTAACCCTGCCAAGTCTCACAAGTGCATCTTCTGCGGAGAGACGTTTAGCACGGAGGTGGAGCTGCAGTGCCACATCACAACTCACAGCAAAAAGTACAACTGCAAGTTCTGCAGCAAAGCGTTCCATGCCATCATCTTGCTGGAGAAGCATTTGCGGGAGAAGCACTGCGTCTTTGACGCGGGCACTGAGAATGGTACTGCTAATGGCATGACCCCGGCCACGAAGAAAGCAGACTCGGCAGATATCCAGAACATGTTGATGAAGAACCCGGATACCTCCAACAGCCATGAAGCTAGCGAGGATGATGTCGATGCTTCTGAGCCCATGTACGGGTGTGACATCTGCGGGGCGGCTTATACAATGGAGGTCCTTTTGCAGAACCATCGTTTGAGGGACCATAACATCAGGCCAGGGGAGGATGATTGTTCCAGGAAGAAAGCAGAGTTCATCAAAGGGAGCCACAAGTGTAACATCTGCTCAAGGACCTTTTTCTCAGAGAATGGCCTCCGGGAACACATGCAGACTCACCGAGGCCCAGCAAAACATTATATGTGCCCCATATGTGGGGAACGGTTCCCATCCCTATTGACCCTGACGGAGCACAAAGTAACCCACAGCAAGAGCTTGGACACAGGAACGTGCCGGATCTGCAAAATGCCACTCCAAAGCGAGGAGGAATTCATTGAGCACTGCCAAATGCACCCTGACCTTAGGAATTCCCTCACCGGGTTTCGCTGCGTTGTCTGCATGCAGACCGTCACCTCGACGCTTGAGCTGAAGATCCATGGAACATTCCATATGCAGAAATTAGCTGGGAACTCTGCTACATCCTCCCCCAATGGCCAGGCCTTGCAGAAACTCTACAAGTGTGCACTGTGCTTGAAGGACTTCAGAAACAAGCAAGACTTGGTGAAGCTCGATGTCAACGGTCTGCCCTATGGCCTGTGTGCTGGATGCATGACTAGGAGCACCAACGGGCAGTCCTTGGGCATGGCCACGCCGGAAGTTAGTGAAAGACCATGCGGGAGCCTGAGGTGCCCGGAGTGTAGTGTCAAATTTGAAAGTGCCGACGACTTAGAGAATCACCTCCAGCTGGACCATCAAGACTTGACGCCTGAGACTAGTGGCCAAAAGAAGGGTACCCAGACCTCCCCTGTTCCCAGAGTAAGTACCACCCCAGGTTAGCTTTGCCACAATCACTAGAATGAGTAGATGTTTAGTCCAGAAGATCATGTTCCCGTAGATGGCGGATGCCTCAAATTCTCATTTTGTGTGTCAAAAATCTCTCTTGCTGTGGGGCAATATGGAAGCCCCACTTTATTTGGGATGGACACATGAACGCTGAAGCTTTGCCTTAGGATAAGTCTATTCTGCAATAATTAGCCACGAACACAAGGATGCTTCTCTAACTATAAATATGCCGGAATTTTTTTTAAAAAGGCCTTGTGGTTCTTACATAAGACAAATGCAAGAGCAGGTACTGCTTTTATTAATAGTAATCGTGTGCCATCAAGTCAATTCTGACTTATGGCAACCCTTTTCAGGTGGAGAATATTCAGAAGTGGTTTCTCATTCCTTTCTTCTAGGGGGCGCCCTGGTTCTGTGAAGCTTGCCCAAGGCTACCCAGGCTGGCTCTTCTCCCTGGAGGCCCAATAGGGGAATCAAACTCCCACTCTCTGGCTCTTCAGCCAGTTGCCCAACTCATTGACCTATTCGGACAGCTTTTGACCATGTCAGAAGCTAGACTAGTTCAGTTTTTAGTGGAGCAAAGGTATCGACTGCTCTTGCATTTGCCTTATAAAAATGCAGGATTATATGTTTATTCTTTTAAAGAATAGTTATTTGTCCTTTAAAACAATGTTCTTTTATTCGCTTCTCAGGAGCAGGACTCCAATAGCAGAACTGCTCCACTTAGCTACTAGTTCGTTTGGTTGCAATTACATTGCAGCATGTGTTGCTAGAAAGTGTTATTCCTGTATGAGTTTCAGAAATTCCCATTATATACTTTAAACCCACCGGAAAGGTTGCCAATGTCTCAATCAGTGACTACATTGAAAGCCTAACATCAATTAGTGAATTAGGTCAAGCTGGAACCTCTACTTTGTCCTGTTATTTTCCAAGACACCTTTCTCTGCTCACATCCCTTGAGAGAGCTCCTGCTTCAGGGAGTGCCATGCCTTGTTGTGCCCTTGTGAGTTTGTTCCACCCTCCCAACGAAAACAAAGGAAGTGAAGTGGAAGCCCAGCAAAAAGTGCAATGGGTTGGGCATCGGTAATTCTGCAAGGCACCCAGTGGGGCTCACTCGGTGCATCCAGTGATGTCGCTGGTAGGGATGCCACTGTTGAGGTGGGTAGGTTCACCCTAGGAGGAGCAGGAGGAGGAGGAGGAGGAAGAGGAGAAGCAGGAGGAATGCTGTGTTTCATAGGGCAGTGGTCCCTAACCTTGGGCCTCCAGGTGTTCTAGGACTCCAACTTCCAGAAGCCTTCACCATCACCTCTGCTGGCCAGGATTCCTGGGAGCTGAAGTCCAAGAACATCTGGAGGCCCAAGGTTGGGGACCACTGCCATAGGGAACCCACAGTTCTGACTATTCCCAAATACCCACCATTAGGAAAATGCAGGAAAGGTTTTCCTTTTGTGTGCTCCCTTTTGCTCTGCTCAGAGTTTAAAAGCACAGGTGGGTCGAAAGGCACGCTGAGGTCTTGGCAGGTGCCACCAGTCCTGATGTTGCATCAGGACATGGTGGGGAGTGAGGCGGAAGAGGCAAGGCTGAAGCTCTTAATCCACAGCCCTACACCCTCTGTTATGCCTGTTTGTCACCTAAAAAGAAACCGAGCTCCATCCTATTCAGGACGAGAACTTCTTTCTGAGCCTTGCTTTTAGTTAATAAAAAAGCGAAGTCCATATTTCCGTTAGGTATGTTCCTTTATCTTTGAAGAATATCTTCAATGTATTGCACGAAGTACAGCTTGAAGGATATTGTTTTGTTTCGTTCCTTTAAAAAAAAACATGAAACATTGATTGAATAGCAACTATTCCCAGTCTAGCTCAGAATCAAACCAGCTGCTGCTTCCTTACTTGAATTTCTGTGCGCAAGTCCGCCACCGGCATCTGTACTTAATACGATTCTTGGCTATTTTCGCACTTAGGCAACCTTCCGAGAGAGCTTTCAAGTCTTCATGTTTGCAGCCTTTGGACATAATTTCTTCAGGTTCAGCAGATTACTCATTTCTCCGCATCCCAGATAAAATTGGAAGGACTAAGTATGGCCTGGAATTCTTCTTGGCTGAAAAGCGAAGGAGCTGTGTGTATAAGCTGCTACACACCCTATCACCACTTTTAATTGTGCTTTATTTAACTCATGAAGCCGTTGACCCGCTCGGCACTCTCGAAAGCTCCTTTCCTCTGTATGAGTCGGAAGCCCCCATCTGCCCCAGCAAAGCATCGTCTTGTACGTGGCTGAGACAGAGATGTTAAAAGTCTGCCTTGTAGATCTTGCCGATCGCGACAATGCGTTGGGTTCAAAGGATTTCTCAGTGCTTGAAACAATCCGAGCGAAAGATTCTTTGCTTTGTTTCACTCACTGCTTTAGCGCTGCAACTACATAGTGCTCCCTTGGGGTCAAGGGAATCGGTGACTAGACCTGCCTCCAGCTGTGATATACATCTAATTCTGCAGAGAATAAATGCGAAATGGAAACACCTCTCCCTTCAGTGCAAAGCCTCTTGAGAGTTCCATCCTCCAAAACTACTTATTAGCCCTGCCATCGTCTTTCCACTTCTTGGCCCTTCATTGTGTTCCGCACTCCTGCTAAAGAACAGGCCCATTCTTTTATGCCACACTAATTTCGATTTCCTATGACTGCACACACCAAGGCTAAAATACTCATAGTTTCCTCTCTTTCCACCTTCTCTCCTTGCAGTTATTGTGAGTGGAAATTGCCGGCATCCTCCTCCCTCACACCTACTTTTAACTGTGTCTCTTCAGTGAGAGCTTCCATAACTCCACTTCTCTCAGGAGAGAATTTAAGTTCTTCAACAAAGTAAATGCTTTGAATCTCATCCCAAGAGGGCAGATTTCTTTTGTAGAAGATAATGAAAAATCAGAATTCAGGCCTGTACCAAATTACTCTTTACACAGGAGCCTGCAATTGGCATATATGCTAATACCTTAGACTTGCCGGTCTACCTTCCCATTAACAGTATCAATCCTGTGAGCACTTATGGTGGATACAGTCAATGCTTCTCCCCTCCCCCCCCTTTCTTTCATTTTCTCCTGTCCATCTGATCTAAAACCGCTTTTGGGCTGGACTCTGGCTTAACTTCTCAGGCACTGCCAACCTCAACATGTTAAAGGACATAAGCAAGGTCCACATCCCTGGGACACAGCCGTCATCTCTCTGTGTGTATCTCTGAAGTTTTCTTCAGTTGGGATTATGCTGTGGGCTCTCATACTGGAAAAGTCCCCACTTCAGCAGGATTGGGTTGAAGTACGCTGGGATCTGCTGCTACATCTCTTAGCTGATCTGCAGGAGATCACCAAGGTTAGCTGGCTCCCAGACGTTTAACAACATCAACAAGGAAATGGGTCCACCCACCTTTTCCAAATTAGGCTGCAGAAATGGACGGAAACTTAGAAGGAAAGCCAGGAGCAGATTTTGGCATGATTGGATTGTGAACTCAGTTCTGGAATGGGAAAACAGCCGTGTCCCTCTGCCCACCTCCAGCTGAAATGACTTATCTCTTTAAAAAAATGCCTGACCGAGCTCCTTCTGTGTCTCTGTGTGTTTTTGTACATTGCATTGGAAGGTTCCATGTTCCCCAGCCAGCATGGAGGGAACTGAGATATAACCCTCCCATTTTTTTGATGATACAAGAATGCAGTCCTCAATGGGTGGGGAAAATCCATGTTGGATTCTCCTCACCCCGTGAGGACTGTTCTCCTTGTTCACCAAAGGAGGTTGGTGAGCTAACTCAGTCCATGGACATTATCCATTTAGTGTGGGAACGAACCCAAGTGAAGAGAATGGGATTTACTTCTGGGAAAATAGGCATGGGATTGCATTGAAGGGGCTTGGACTAGATGGCCATCTAGTCTGTGGTTTTATATAGTTCAGTGACTTTCTAATTTCCTGGATTTAGGACAGTAAATGTCAGGCATGGCAATACAGGCTGTGCAAATAACTATAACAGCAGTTCCATCCTTTCCTGATTAATTACAGATTTTAGATGCTTTCAAGATTATAAATTAGGGCTCTGAAAACTCATATGCTTGTCCAAGTAGGTTAGCTTTCAGTACCTTGTTTAAAAAGCATGTATCAAACATAGCCAAGGAAACAAAATTGAACAATATGTTATTCTTTGTTTTATAATCTCTTGCTGATTTGTAGTACAACAGGTAAAAAGTGTTTTTTTTTTACTCAGCCTGTCTTGTGTCTGCAATACAAACTGAGCAGCCTACAGCTGTCCAAATAACATTACTACTCTATAATTCTTGACCAGCTCCTCGTTCTTTTCTCTCTCACTCTCTCGCTCTTTCCTTTTGGACCATTATTGATTTTTTTTCCTCCTTGGGTGTTTGTTTTGTTTTGTTTTGTTTTTAACACTGAGTCTAACAGTAGAGGATTAGAAAAATATATAGTCAGAGGGAAGGTACGTGGAGATTACATTAAAAAACCATAGGTGTACATGTTTCAGTAAGTGCCAGGATTGTGTCGATATTTGTAGCTCAAGAGGGAAACGGCACATTTGGAATATAGTCGATGCTCCAGATGCTGGTAATACTCCACTAACAAGTATACTTCCGAAATCCTGCAGGTGAGGCTTTGAGAATCCTGCAGAATCTCAAAGGTAAACATTGAGGCAGAGGGGGTTATGAGGAAAGCCTTTTACAAAATAATTAATGTGGGAAACGATGAGGAGAAGGAAGATGCTGGTAAATAAAAAACAAAGCAAAAGCCGTTGAAACACGGTTGCTGAAAGCTGCATTTTCTTCAAGGAAGTCCTGCTTGGGGCCCTCCAGAACTACTGTCAACTTTGTCTGGGTCAGCAGATAATGAGGATGATGGAACTTGTAGTCCTACACTGTCAAGAGGGCCAGAGGGCACCCATTGTTGTCTCCGTCACTTCATCTCTCAGCTGTTGATTCTCTGGATACGTTCCGTCAGGACGAATCCGTTCGTTTCATCCAGTTGGAATAGGCGATGCTAGAACCAGTTGAACTGACGGGATGGTACAGTTTCAGGCATGTTCTTGGGTTATACATATGAGGGTAATAATACCTTTCTACCTTGCAGAGTTGTTGTAAAACAAGGGTAGGAATTCTGTAGCCTGCGGGCTACATAGGGCCCACCTAAACTTGTGTCCTCCATTCCCCTCTTTGGGTTTGTTTGTTTGTTCGTTTCTATGTTTATTTTTGTTCCTAATAGAAGGCCAGAATTAACATGGAAAGGTCATCATGCCGAGTGTATGCTCGGTCACTGAGCATAGGTCCCTCCGGGGCAGTCATCGCGTCTTCATCTTTCTCCCTCTCCTTATTAGTGACTCTTTCCTCTGCTTTTCTTTATGAAACTTTTAAATATTCACCAAAATCCATGAGAAAGGCAGAAGAGTGGTGCTGTTTCATTGGGGTCCCTGCGGAAGACTGCCAGTGCCTGGATTACTGGGGTGGGGAGATGGTGTTGGGGCTTTTCCTGAAACTTACAGGTCCATCGCCAGATGCTTTTCCCAATTTCAGCCATGCCCTTAAAAGAAAAGGAACCAAGGAAGGCCCCACAAAAGAGAAGGTCTCTCAGCCCTTTCTTTCCCTCCCCTTGTAATTTAAGTTCAAGAAATGGTGGGTGGGTGGATTGTGCTGCATGGGTCACATCTCTCTGTCTTGCATTCTGCCTGCTAAACCACATATGAGTCTTAAAATGATCTAACTCCAGTTACAGGAGCAAAGGACCTCTGTTGTTCTGCGGGCTACACATATGTTCTACCACTCTCTTGTGGTCTTTCTCTGTTGACTAAGTTGATTATTCTCAGACTTCTGTATCTTAGGTTTTCTCCATCACTCCGTCAAAGAAGCTTAACCCTAGCATGATAAATGCAACCACCACCAACCCGCCTTTCCTAAGAAGGGTCTTCATATGTTTGTAGGCATTCCACTGTTATCTTTATCATTTATGGGAAGTTGTTTGAAAGGGAGAATGAGGATAAACCCTGAGCATCCACTTACTGGACGACATTGGAGAGTGGGTTCTCTCCACCTCAACTGCTTTTGTATCTTACCAGTGGTATGTGTGCCACCGGCTGACAACCTCTGCATTATGTCATTATATTTATAAATTGTGGTAAGAGTCTCTCTCTCTCTCTCTCTCTCTCTCTCTCTCTCTCTCTCTCACACACACACACACACACGCACACGCACACACACGCACACACACACACACACACGCACACGCACACACACGCACACACACACAGAGGTAATATTGTTTGGAACCAATGTAAACAAAAATTCCATTATTAATAGTTGTAAATTTTAGTAGATACTATCATTCGTTAGGCAAAGTCCAAAGACATGAAACAAAACATGTGGCACCTTAATGACTGTTATATTTTAATGTAAGCTTTTGCTTACATGCCCACTTCATCAGACATTAAGAAACATTATTATCACACACACACACACACACACACACACACACAGAGGTAATATTGTTGGGAACAAATGTAAACAAAAATTCCATTATTAATAGTTGTAAATTTTAGTAGATACTATCATTCGTTAGGCAAAGTCCAAAGAAATGAAACAAAACAGAAAGACACAAATATGTGGCACCTTAATGACTGTTATATTTTAATGTAAGCTTTTGCTTACATGCCCACTTCATCAGACATTAAGAAACATTATTATTATTAAGAAGCACCATTCATTATTATCAGAAATAGTTTTGAAAACCTGCATTCCACCTAGGAAGCTTTCTTGTCATGACATTGGTACAGAGTACCTCTTGTGAAGGACCCTGGACTAGATCAAATCATACATTTCCTTTTGCCTGTTTCTTAGGTTTAGCCTTAACAGTGGCTTAGTCTCTGACCATCGAAAGAAAATTGACGGAAACAACATCAATCATGGAAGGGAAGTTTGTTGTGAATGGGAGACAAATTTATTGCAGGCGGAAGGGGTTGAATTCTGCTACTAGCTTGGAGTTTTTGTTCCCCAATTATGTCTTGTAAACTCCATGCCCAGAATATGGCTAGAGTTGGGGAAAAAAAATGCCAGCCTCTTGTGCTAACCCATAAAGCTCGTACTTTTCACACTCGTCCATACTGTATCCTCTACGTCTGATATAAACAAGCCTTTGGTTTGATCTGGCATAGTTTCCCTTGCATAATCTGTGAAGTAGTGAAACGCACATGGCATTGTTAGTAAGTGGCAGACTTTCTCACTGTTGGATTTGACAACGTAAAATAATCTGATAGGAAAAGAGGAAAACGAAATATTTGCAAGGGATGTTTATTTAAAAAAACATTTTTCTGCAATTGCTCTTCTGTCACAACTGTTTTTAAATTCTGATTGCTGTATAAATTATTCCTAAGGATTTCCCCCATCTCATCTTAAAGAAGACACGCCCCTGCCAATGTTAAATACAAACCTCATCTTCTTTTATAGGATAAATGACTCATGTAATTGCTTCTTCGCATTCTTTCCTTGTTTCGGCAGTGAAGCGTCATTACAGTGACACAACGAAAAATCTTAAGAAATGAAGGAAGAAAAGCCGTGTCACAATTCACTATGGGATTTCCATGGTTTCTAGAATTCATACTTTCACTTCTATAAGCAATCCCTTGTCTGGTCTGCACATCCTGTGAAGTTTCTTCAATGTCTTTTCTGAAATCGCACTTCTCTTGCCCAGATCAAAGCACATTTTCCTGCAATAAAAATGAGGAATCCTTTGGCAAATGCAGGTATGCATTTCTTACAGAGGAATAAGCCTCAACAGCCTTCCACCTACCCATCAGGAATAATGTCATTATCAGCAGCAGACAGCTGCGGATTAAGTACTATCTTTTCAAATTTTGGGGTGCATCTGACTTCATCTCATTGTACATAAGCTGTGCATACCCTAAAACTTAAAAGGAAGTCTTAGTGAGCAGCGGTATGTCATTGATGGTGATATTATTCCTGTTGTGCAGATGGAGCTACACAACAGGATTTTGACCATCCTATTGTGGAGGATGACCGTTGAATTACTGGGTTGGATCCAGACTAAGTCCTCCTTGGAGTAGGCCCAGTTCAGTTAGTTATGACTAACTTGTCCATTTCATTTCAGTATGTCTACTTTAAATATAACTGAATTTATTTCTACTCCGCTATGTAGGTTTGTGCTGGAAAGGCTTTTTATTTATTTATTTATTTATTTATTTATTTATTTATTTATTTATTTATTTATTTATTTATTTATTTATTTATT